AGCAAACAACTTATTCCATGATTAATTAAAAAATATGGCAAATTATGAATATTCATAGTTGATAATTATTTTTAATGAAAAAATGATGTAAGTATAGACAGTTTACAGAAAATTATATTACGTACAATACATAATAGAGTATGGAAAATACTTGAAATACGACAATATATTTATGAATAAAATTTTAGATAATTTAAATAATTTTTAATTTTTTAATTTTTATCGAGATATTCATAGAATACAATAATTACTAATTGCTAAGTTCAGAAAAATAATAACACAAAGAATTGTTGCATTAGATGATAATTGTGGACAAATACTTACCGAGTTAAACACGAAAATTAAAATTAAAATAACATAAAAATAAAATAATATTTATAATACTAATTTTTCCAGAATTTTCAATTAATGTACATTAGTGGTCCAACGTTATGGAAAGACAACAAAAAACAAAAAAAACAAAAAAAAACAAAACAAAAAAAATCGGAAAAAACTTATTACAAACAACAAAGAGATATAGACTAAAATGGAAATAAATATTTTGACATTTTAAACAGCATACTGAATTGTTGATTACAGTTAGTTATAATTGTTTTATACTTATTGGATCGAATAATTTAAGTTGACCAATCTTTTCGAATGTGCCATATATCTAATAATATTTATATTAATTTAGGTAATGCAAAAATGTTCTATGATGTTGGAAATGTGAAAGTTTAAATTATACGAATTTAGTGAACAAATTTCAAAGAAAAATATATTTTATATATAAATAATATTTTCACTTATATAAAAAAAATTGCATACAATAATATTAATAATATGTTTATGTATAGGTAGATATATACATCGTTCGTGCGTGCATGTGTGCATAATTTGATAGGATAACAATTTAAACTAAGAAGATGATGGGAATTGATTGAATTTATTCTATTTGATGAATAATTCGATAGGATTATAATAGGATATAGTTTAGAATAACTTCCACAATTAATGAATTAACATTTTAAAGGCAAAATGGATAAATAAATAAATTTAAAAAGTTATATTAATGCAGAAGGTAACTATGGATTGAGTGAGGAACTGGAGATAAACACGATTTTATAAAAGCATTAAATCATAAAAATATGACGCTGTAGTAATTGATGCTCGCAATTCGAAATGCGAATTCTGTTTATGATTTGGTGGTCGTAAATCGATAACTTAAAAATTTTTCGGACTCGGAGATAAAATAAAAATTTTGAAATTCCATGTTTAAGAATAAAGTTATAGTTTAATAATGTGTGTGTGTGTGCGCGCGCGCGCGCGTGCGTAAAAGAAAAATTTCGTGTTAAAAATTGTTTGTTTTTATTTTCCCCAAATTATTTTAATGTCCAGCCCATTGAATGTTCAATTTGCAAATAATTTTTATCGAATTTTTATAATTATCAATATAGTAGACAAGTACTTTTATTTACAAGTTATTAACTTAGTAATTCTATTTTAAACGTTTACTCAAGAACGAACCTATTTAACAATTTATTTCAAGACGTCTAGGATATGAAGCTTAAGAGAGGAGATTTATGTAGTTAGGACAAAAATTCTCTTTATGATGTTCGAACGGCAAAATCAGCTGAGACTTTAGCTTACATTCTCAATTTACACTTCTTTGATAATAAATCCTAGAAATACTTTTTGAATCTCTAGCAGCCACTGTCAATATCTGATAAGGCTCTTTCTTTCTATTAACCAAAGATTTTTTATTCTTTATTTCTGCAGACTCAATATTAAGTGTAATGAATGGAGCTTACCTTATTGCAGGAATAAATAACTTTGATAAATGAGGAAAGAGTTGCTTTTACCTTTAACTAAGAAATTAAGAGAAGAAAAGAATATATTAAGTGTGATATATTAAGTCTCGGATGATTAATAGAGCCAATGCATGTAATATCAAAATTAAATTTCAGTAGATTTATTAACTGTAAGTTGATGAAAATTTGAAAAATCATTTAGCCGTTCACTATCCGAAGCATCGTTTATATATTTATATAAAAGACTTTGCTTTCACTATTGTTGATTTCGACAGATCTTGTGTGCATCAATTTTTCTTTCTAATACATAAATATTTCGATATTTAAAAAAAAAAAAAAAAAAAAAAAAAAAAAAAAAAAAAAAAAACTGTATTTTTATTATGTAGTACTCAAAATGCACAGCAACTATTATTAATCATTATTGTTTCTATAATATGTATATGTATGTATATATATACACTCCTTTACAAGTTATATCTATAAATTTGTTTTCAACTGTTCGCAAATCTAATCCAGAGTTAACGTTCATACAGGCAAGATTCGTTTTTATAAAAGTTTTCGTACTCGAAATTCACCGTCAAACCATATTATAAATTACTCTTACGCTTTGGCTTGCTGGGAATCGAGTAATGAGAAGATTTAAAAATACAATGATCAAAAACAAGATATTCCAAGATTTCCTTACATAGGCGCATAACAAAATGTACAAAACATACGGAATATACAACTGCGTATCTGAGATAAATGTGTTTTGGGTTGTCTATTTCGCCGATTTTATTCGTGTCTGTATTTATCGGTTGGTTCATCTTCGCATACACTACCGCCAAAATGCATTTGGATACTTAAGGATTTCAAATGTAGAGAAACATTCTATTTTCTATAATCCATAATTACCGACTATTTAACAGCAATAATACAAAGAGGAGAAATAATGGAACTTGTGCATTAATTTCATTCGGTGTATTATTTATTTATTTATTATTGTTGTCGTTGTTTGTTTTAAGACTGTTTCAGTTGCGAGTAAAATATCGACAAAACTATTCCATCGATTTCACTCGTTAAGATCTAATTTCGTGAAAAACTTTTTTTAATGCAAAACGTATGATTCAATTTCTCACGAATTTAGCTCTAATGAGTCTAATGAAACGAAATTTTTGATTAAGTATACAAAGCTCCTGGATAGCTACTGTTCGTGCATCATTATACATAAAATCCATTACAAAGATTAAAGTGATCTCAGGATATTTCAACAAAGACATTGCTCAAATAAATTAAAATAATATCAACTATTGTAATAACTATACATTATTTGCCTTTACGTTAAAAAATTAATCGAACTTATTAATTGCTCGCTTAATATGAATGTCGAAAGTAAATTATTATTATTGCTAAGCAGAGGTAAAAAGGGAGATAAAGATAAGTTTAATATTGACATTGCCATTCATAAGTCCCTTCAATTAAATTTAGTATATGAAAGAATAGCACATTTTCAAGTGATTTTATTAAATAGTTAATATTCGTTGTTTAGAAAGTTTTCAAGTGAAATAACCGACCAACTTTTACACGATTACAATAACTTCCTTAATACATGCACTTTTAGCTAATATTTCAAAATGCTTGAACAACTTGGAGTAAATTATTGGAGTAAAATTTTGTAAATCGTCTGAAAGTGATTTTACTTTATTACTTAAGCAATTATTACACTCGAATTTGAAAGTTAGGATAAATGAATTCTTGGTGAATTGTGAATTGGCTGTGATAGTACATATAAGTAATCTTTTTCAAACTATATAAGCCTGTATGAGGCATAAAATACTAAGAATTCATGGAGAATTTATTTTAGAATTTAAAAGCTATCACGGCTAATGAAAGCTTGTAATGAAAGCACAGAGAAGAGAAGAAAAATATAATTATAGTTAAAAATGAAATCTCTGAATCAATGAATTGACGGTGCGTGTAATCTTGAGCATGAATTAATAATTTCGAAATAATTTCGAAAACACATTTTCATAATAAATATATTCCGAGGTATTAAAAGAAGCTTCCATTGACGCGATGAAATATCTTTTACCAACGTTTTTTCTCCAAATAATAATAGTGGATTATTATTCTTCCAATGTTACGGCTCGTGTACACTCGTGTAACAAAATACGTAAAAAATCAAAAAGTATTCAAAAACTTAATGAACGATAGTGCGCTTAAAGCAATTGGATTCTAAAGTTTTATCAATCACAATTTCTGTTTTAGAATGATATTTTTATACTTCAATTAATATAAAAATTTATCCATCTAATCGATCTGAAACCTTTCTAAGTCTATAATGTATGATAATAAACGATTTCTAGTATTACACAGATGCATACACTCGCTCGCTCACGGTCACCACGCACGCACACTTACTTACATACAAGCGCGCGCGCTCACGCATATACGCGCACGCCCACGCACACACTCATATATATATATATATATATATATATATATATATAAATTTAGAGAATTTCAAATCGTCGCGATTTTGTTGTTGTTGGAAGGTGTGCAAAGCGAAAACCGAACTGAATGTTAATATCTTCTCGTACATACAATTTAGAAAAAATAATGAAATAAATTGAAATCTGATACGAAAAGATTGAGCACGTAAGATTGAATATTTTGTAGTTATGATTGAGAAAATGAAGGCACCCAAACGCCTCATTGTTGAATGGCAAATAACGAACGAAAGGGCGACCGTTGGATTACCGACGACTGTCTCATTCATAAATCATAAATACAAGAAGACATAAACACATTATATTGACGCCGATGCATCCTTAATTCAATCGCTTATAAAAAGAAAAATAACACAGTGGCATTCTTTCACCTTAAATTCCGAAGTGTATTTTCACTCGACCAGGATTGAAATCACATTACGTAAAAATTAAAAATTCACTCCTTACCGAGTGGGATCCAGCTATGGATCCGGTGAGTCCTCTGAAAATCTATAAAAATTCACTCTAAACGAAACTCTCAGAGTCATTAATGTTTAACGCCGTAGCAAGAGAAGTCATTATAAACTGGCATTGTCGCTCGTATCCGAGTGAGCGTGTTCACATCACTCCACTTTGGGTGGTGGGGATGGGGATGGGGATGGGGATGGGGGGAGGGGGGGTGGTAAGGAGTAAGGCCAAGCGGGACGGGCTGGGATTTAGAGGAGAGGATCTAGAGGATGAAAGAGAGATGGAGTAGGAAGGAAAAAATAGATGGATGGATGGATGCAAGGGTGGGGCGGAGCAGGACGTCGCGGCGCATCTTCGGTTGTCGGTTAAAGCGTGCGCAGCAACCTTGGCCCTGCCCTTGGCCCTGCCCTCAAAGATGACGCTGGTGGATGAGTGCGTGCACCGGTAGCTGCCTGCCCCTTTGGTATCTCTGGCATCGTCCCGTGCTGAGGTCGTGGCACTCATAGACGTTGGCGGTGCCCGCCGGCCTCGTCAGTCTGCGCCCGAGCCCCAGGCCCGCGCCATTAGCCGACAACGCTCCAGAGATATCAAAGGGCTCCTCCAGTTATTCCATTGGGTGGTGGCGACCGCCACACATGCCGCACGACATGCCACACCAGTGGACTGCCCTGAGCGGAGGGTAGATCCAGAGGCACGGCACGATCAACGACAGCAGGGCCAGCCCGAGCCATCGACGCCCGCAGCCCTCCTCCGTGCTGCAACTGCGACAGATAATAGCCGATGAGACGGTTTCCTCTCGAGCCGTGGTACTCGGCCTCGCACTAGCATAAGAATCGCTCACTCATAAGCGAACCGAGTTCCATCCTCACCTGCACGGATTCTGGGCGAAATCTCCCTCGGCGTCGCTCATGCAGTGGTAGAGCATACATTGGGCGCAGGAGAGGCAGGAGACGTTGGCGATGCCGCGCCTCATGGGGTCCGGGGCGTATTCGCACGCGCCCCTCGGATTCTGTTGCTCCGTGTACAGCTCCTGGCAATGCTTGCAGCGCAGCCTCAGGTTGCCTCGGGCACCCTTCCCCGTCAACACCCCGCTTACTTTCGTCGGCTGAAACATCAGAGGAGATGCAGTGGACGAGCAGCGCAACGAGGTCGACTTATTCATCGCTTATTCGTCGACGCGATAACAACGAATATCGAATGTATACGAATTGTCAAATATTTCGAGCGGATTTACATCGGCAAGTGGGGGAGAATCGAGGGAAAGTCTTGCCGATGGATTGCTTGGTTAAGGAGATTATTAGAGTGGATTCGCGTAACATTGACGTGGAAGTGCCTGCGTAAGGAGACGAGACGAGGGGCGTCCACGTGCCGGTACCTGCGATACGAGGATGTCGGGCTTCTTAAGGGAGCCACCCGAATTGCTGCGATCGAGCCGCTCAGACTTGTGGTGCTGGTGCTGCTGGTGCTCGTCTATCACTGGGTAGAGGTACTCGTGGTTGAGCGTCGTCAGCTGCACGTAGGGATAATTATCGGAAGCGAGGTCCGCCGGCCTCGATTCCAACGGATGATGGTGCTGATGCTGCGCTTGCTGATGGGGATGATGGTGGGGGGGCATCTTCACGATGGATGGCCCGTCGATGTAGTGAATTGGCCTGTGGGTGTCCAAGTGCTCGGAACATTGTGAGTGATAATTCGGTATCCGGATTAAGCCTCGATGCATCGGCTCCGTCGATTGGCGCGGCTCCGGCGGCTCCGCTGGCAAATTCAGTATCTGCAAGACGCGGGTTTATCGTTATTATTCGTGGTCACCTTACTCCCCCCCCCCCATCCCGCCACGGCGAACGACACTCGCGTTAGTTTCATTATGTTTCGAGCAAACACGGGTAGCCCGTGGTGGTGGTAAGTCCTTAGAGGGGAAGGCGAATCCCCGGAGTCTTAATAATAGTTTTGCATTTTTAAGAATTCGGCATCGTGCGATGAGTTCCGGATACATCGTTGGCCTTTTTAGGTAACAACTCGAAACGATGAGAAACATTACGTAAGTATGTTTTACGAGAAGTTTTAAGGCGACTGAAATTGCCTCGGTAAATATCGCGAGATAAAAGCGGAATTCGTAGAAGCTGTAAGTAAGGCGAGCAAAGGTCTTTTCCGCTTTATCGAGTGAAAGTAATACTGATTATGCTTGGCCCGTCACGTCATAAGACGAAATTCGAATCCTTCTATGGCACTCGTAACATACACAAGATTATTGAATTTCATTTTCGCGGAGTAATTAAAATTTTCTGACTGATTTATCCTTGTATTAAAGAGCGTATTATTGTAATTGCGAGAAATAAGTATCGAGCTTCTAAACGCATAAGATATAGAAGAAATGACGTTTGTTTGTTTATTTGTTTTCATTGGGATTTGAAAGTCCTTAATTTAAAATGAAAAGGAGAATAATGATAATGAGAATCAGCTCTACATACATAAAAATTTTTATCTTTTGAATTATGTGAATTACAATAATATATAGTAAGATGGGACTTGATTGATATACTTATGTACCTGATGATGAAATTAGAATTTCGAATGCATACGCATATTTTTAATTTGCAATTTAAAATTCTAACACTCTAATCGACTTTTTTTTTATCTTATCCCTATTTATTTTCTATGGATTTTTACGCTAAAGAAATATAATTTTCTCAATTGCCGTGGACTTGATTGAATAGATAAAATAATAAGGTCTACGGTCGAATATCAAATGCCTTCATCGTACTAGGAAATTAATATTGTTGCATTATATTCTTAGCTAATTAAAAAAGTTAATTATATCACAGCATAATTGATGCTTTAAATTGTAAAATGCACTCGGGTGTATGTGTGAAACGTTATTTCTCAGCTTTAGCGCATAATATTCATTTAATTGGCGATCGTAATATTTAATGTTTTGTTTAATTATATTAATAATCATAAAATTGATTAATATTCAAGGAAGCGTATTATACGGCGCTATTCGTTGCGTATAGAAGCGTATAGAATTTGTCTGTTTATCCCTCGTATTATTTGACACAACAACTTAAAATGATAATGATTCTAAATGATAATTGTAATTCATATTTAACTACGTCTCATTAAACTGTAGGCCATAAACGTGCGTGAGGTGCGTTACTCAAGTAATTAGATTAAAAATAAGATGTGGTAATGATTTTCCCAAAAAAGAAAAAAAAAAAAAAGAAAGAAAGAAAAAAAAACCAAAACCAAAACCAAACAAAAAACAAAAACAAAACAAAGAAACTCTACATCAATCAAATGTCGGGAAAAAAAAAAAAGCCTGCAAGATCGTGAACTCGGCTGAGAGAAACCTAAATCTATCAGCTCAGCGGGTTCGATGAGGATGGAAAAGACGCCAGGACCGGATGGACTTCCGGCGGAAATATTACAGGCCGTAGTTCGCAGAGCACAACAAGCTAGCTCGAGATGCACAATGCCTGCCATTGATGTGAAGTATTTTGCTCTCGTTTAACGGAAACAAAGATGGTAGTGATAAGTAAGGGTAAGGTGCCAGCGGGAACAACCTTATCTTATAAGCCCTTTTGACGTGAACTGAAAAGCCATTGAAATGTATTTAACGAAGGTGCCGGGACCTTGCTTTGGTAAAACACAGGGTGAAAGTCTTTGGGAACTTCACCGAGGAAGACATGTATAATTGGCTTGATTGTTTATTATTCTAGCAACGGTGTTGTCGCACACGAAAGGCAAAATAACCGGGGAATAAAAGATCGACATCGGCTACGTAGCTCGAAGTTTCACCGTTTCGCAATCCGATTGTGCGAAATTTCCTACGGCTATTGAATAAGGCGTGTAATTACTATTGTTATTATTATTATTATTATTATTATTATTATTATTATTATTATTATTATAATAGCTTCCGAGTAAAATTAAATGCAGATTAATGCATCATATTCTCAGCCGAACGAGCAAACTTACGTTCAAAGTTGCACTTGCAAAGATGCGGAAATAAAGCCATTTGGAAAGAATCGTTTGCCTCTAGCGTGTACAACGAATGTTGGAAGTGTGAGTACGTGTGTCCGTGTGTACGTGCGTGCGTGCGTGCGTGCGTGCGTACGTGCGTGCGTGCGTGCGTGCGTGCGTGTGCGTACGCGTGTGAAAACTAATGCGGCAATTAAATGTATGGAGGTAATGCTGCTGAAGGTTTAATTTCTGAGAACTAATGTTGAGAACAATGGATAAAGAATCGGCGATAACGGCCGACCCTGGCTAGGATAATCATCAGGATGCGAAGGACCGGGAAATAAGATTAACGAGAGCAAAATGCAATGCAACTTGAACTGCCAAACGTTCATGGAGTGTCGAGGACACTGGCATTTCCACGTGGACGAAAATCATCCTAAGGCAATGCCAAAGTAGACATAATTCATAATGAACTTGAAATAATCGAAATGACGAGGAGCCACATGATACTCTCTTTTGTGTCGCTGCATTTAAGGCAATAATTAAAAAATAATTAAAAAAATACGTTTTACAATGGCCTTTTAAAATAATTATACGTATAATTCGAACAAAATTAGTCTAATATTATACTAATAATACAACCACATATTAATTATCGAGTTGTAATTAATTACGTACCATGAAAACGTCGTCATCGCCACCATCTGCTAGAGCATTATCGTCGATTAACGAGGATTGTTCGGCAAGTCCTGTTATTAAACAAAAATTAAAACTACTTAGTACACGAATTAATAGCGTATCGATAATATCGTCCCTCGGCCTTGTAAGCTTACCAAGTAAATAATCCAGGACTAATCGTAATAAAGCAAAGCGCATATTAATTTTTATATCGACACTAAAACTCAAAGCCTTCACTCGGTATCTCTCACTCTAAATTAACTTTATCCATTTATTTATTTTTTTTTATTTATTTATTTTTTATTTTATTTTATTGTATAAATATTAAATTTAAATAATCCAATTGATATGACGTCGATAAAATGCTACAGTCTTTGGTTAATGGCAAACCAATAAACAGCCAAAAACTAGCACTACCTTTACCAATAAAAACCAAAAGTCAAGCTAATCAAGTTAATTGAATTAATTAACAATATAATTTTATAATAAGTGCATTGTAACTATTATTAATCATCGGTGAATGAGACACTCGATGCACAACGTCTTTGTACTCGATAAGCACGCAACACATTCGTAATTGTCGAATTAAATGCTCCAGCGTTGCACAATGATGCCACACTATAGTAGGGAAAAGTCAAAAGTCTAACCTTCAACAAGTTCTTGGACTGCCGTCCTAACTCCTTTGTCGAAAGCCCGTGCATCAGCAGCTGTTTGAAAAGTCAGTCCAAATTTCTTCTCTCCCGTGCGCCAGTGGTGAAAAGTGGGCATCACTTTATTATATTCGAAATCCTTCTTTATGGTGCAGCTGAGGACCACCTGGGAAACAATCGAGCTCTTTACAATTGTGTTCGCTGTCATCTCATTTTCAAGAGGGCAGATAAGAATTTCCGACAATAGTTGGAGTGAGAAATGAATTTAGAGCTTCTGCCAAGCCATCGGGACTTTGCAAAATATAACTTGGAGAGCCTCTTTATTACCGGGGCCTAGATTGAAATTTACAATTTGTTGTTATTTTTTTTACACAAACAGGGCCAATCTCATTGTGATAACGATTATGGTTTCTGCTTAAGTTTGCCACTGTACGCTTCAAGTATCTTAGCAACGAGATGAGAAAATGAAGAAACGACGGATGGGTCGTTCAACAAACTGTCGACCCTCTCTTATGCAATTTGGCATTATAAAGAGCGGATGAGTAAGGCAGCCGTGGCTTACCGATTGGTCCGTGATCCTCTTCCCATAAATGAGATATTCGTGTCTCCTTTTAGGTGCACCAGGTGGAGAAGTGCTGGATGATCCATGATTCTGATTATTGGCAATCGTGGATGCAGAGTGCGTGGAGTTGGCGATAGGGGCTGCAGGTGTGGCAGATGTCGTCGTCGTTACGCCAGTCCCATTTGTTGTGCTTGGTTGATGCGTGCTGGAAGAAGCAACGGGTCTTCTTCTCACTGACACATTGGCCAGACCTCCACCGCTTAGTGGAACCCAACCTCCAGAGCTGTCATCTCGAGTCATTACCTGCGCCCGTACCCTCACCAAGTAATTACCACTGTAAGAATAATCAAACCTTTTAGCCAAAAATTATGAACGACCAGCTTAAGTAAAGCTATTCTATAAGATTTACGATGGATTGGAAATATTGTAGGTAGGTAAGTGTATTAAATTATTATGACATGCTTACAAAAATGATAAACTTATTATAGAAGTATTATAAGTATCGTATTATAAGGTACATATATGTGTTTTTTCTTCCATTTATACGGACACTGCTTTAACACTTTGCTAGAACATTCTATCACAAAGAGTATCATTTGTATCGAAAGGTTCCAGCGGTATAGACTCGTCGAATTACTCCAAGAACATGAACTAAGATACAAAAATGCTCGAGGTAATTATATTCCATTGTTTATCACTCTCGTAATAGTAATTTTTTTGACTTGTAGTAAAAAAAAAAAAAAAAAACAAAAAAAAAACAAAAAAAAATAAATAAATAAATAAATAAATAAATAAATAAAAGAAATAAAAAAACATAATAAAGGAAGTTATTATTCTCACTCGACTATTCTTAATGAACATAACAACACTCGTTGAATAATACTCTAATACAATTAAATATTTGCTTTATGATAAAAGCAATAAAACTATTGATAACAAACGTACACAGGGTAAGTTATTCTGATTTTATCACTCATTTTTTAATTCACCGTTTAATCACAATCTTGATCAGAAAAACGTGTGTCATTCATTAAATAATAATCATTTATTCAATTCTCTATGTTCCGAAACTTGATAATCCATATCTAAAAAAGAATTTTGGTGCAGAATTTTTTTTCAAAGAATCCAGAGGTGAATATTAATATGCCTTTATGGCTTTAAGTTAAAAGTTCCAACAATCGATAAAAGTCTTGATATTAAAATATTGGAATCCTAAAATGAAATTAAATACAAAACCATTATTAACTTTCCAGCAGCCTATTCCAACTTATCATTTAATGGCAAACTTCATGATAACTGGGACACGCTTTGCTCAATGAACAGGCCATTCATTCAGCAGTATTGATTAATAGTAAACATCAGTTTAACCAAGAAAGTTCAAGGGTTAAGTTAATAGTAGGGAAGGCATTTGAAGATGAAATATCAAATGCAAATATGTGGAGCAACTTTATGTAAATCGTTAAGCATTAACATTCATTTCAAGTATGAGCCTAATCACGCATCATACTTCCTTCATGAATAAAGCATATTTTTCTCAATGAACGGGATACTCTCGTTCAATGTCACTCTTTGGGATTTATCGTGTACGTGGGTGGCAGCCAATGCCAATGAAAGTAAAATAAATGCCGTGTTAAGAATTAAGATAAGTGGGCGCAAATTTGACAACTGTCCCTCGCATGCATTATGTAAATTATAAATTATAATGCTCGGCTTTAATGGCAGTCGGTGTAATTAAATCAAGAGCAACGTGGAAAAATTAAGGACTCGCTGCAAAACAAGTGACAAGCGAATCTTGCATTTTCCCAGTCGAATTTGAAGAGCTGGTTTAATTGACTAAGCACACCGACGCTGCACTCCCATCTCTCTTAACAAACAAAATAGCTGTCGAACATTGTCAAATATTAATTTAAATTAACAAAGCCAGACAGCCGAAGGCAATTAGATTGTCGAACCACCAGAATCTGTCCAAGTATCGGAGAGGGATCTTCTACGGATTGCCTGGATTCTGAGAATGGAGGAGGAGGAGGAGGAAGAGGTGGAGGAGACGGGGGAGAAGTAGCGACTACAGTGAGGGCGAGTACGGCATAAAGATGCCGTTATCCCGGAGAGCAGCCTCATTATGGCCGCTGCTGCTGATTCTAATCATCGCGGGAGGCGCCCGAGCCTTCAGCTCCCGTACACCAGGTAAGACACTCATACGCTCCTTAGCCCCGTTGCTTGCGCGCATTCCGTTGTAAGAGGCTGAGAGTGCGACTTTATGATAATGGCGGGGGGGGGGGGGGGGGGGGGGCGGGGTGAAGGAGCGTGCCTCTCTCGCACGGCCAATTAACGGGACGAAGGACAGCAAAGTCGGTGCTCAAGCGTAAACGACGGGATGGTCATGGGAGGGGCAGGGGAGGGGGCGGACCGCGACATCGACCAGGACGATCACGGTAACAACGAAGAGGTATGAGAGAACGCGGATGGGACCGAGGGCGAGGACGAGGACGAGGACGAGGACGAGGATGAAGACGAAGACGAGGAAAAAAAAAGGAGGTGGTGGATGGGGGTGTTGGGTTGCGAGGGCGGCAGAGCGGCAGGAAGACATTAATACTCACTCGTCCGACGCCTCTGTCATGGTTCGGGCTGTCTCGGCCTTTACTCGATGCCCACTTTCTCACAGACTTCACCATTTTCGTTGCATTGAAACGACATTCGGCCGCGACCCGTCCACTCCGCAGCACTGGCCCGTCGTCGAACTTCCTCGTTCCTCGCGCTCGCTGTGCCAGCAACAGCACCACCAGCAGCAGCAGCAGCAGCAGCAGCACCACCACCACCACCAGCAACAGCACCACCAGCAACAGCAACAGCAGCAGTAGCAGCAGCAGCAGCAACAGCGGTAGCGACGACGGGGGTCGGGGACCCGCTCCTCGCTCGCGCCTGTCTCGCTCCTTCTCTCATTCAAGCTCGCGGCTCCTCTCGCTCGCACCACAACGCGCTCTGCTCGTACCGTGCGCTACGCTAGTTTAATGCGCGCGCGCGCGCGCCTGCGTTTCCGTGTGTGAATAGAGTGTGTTGGAGAGAGAGAGGCTCTTTTTTAGGCTAGCGCCAACTACAGGAAGCGCTCCAGGCCCCAGCCCTCTCTCGCTCTCTCGCTCTCAATTACTCTCACCTACCGTCGTTCTCGCTCGCGCCTCATGCGACCGCTGTCTTGCTACCCCTCTCTATCCCACCGTCACCCCACTCGACAAGCCTTTACTCTCTCTCTCTCTCTCTCTCTCTATTTATCTCTCTCTCTCTCTCTCTCTATCTCTCTATCTCTCTCTATCTCTCTCTCTCTCTATCTCTCTGCAGGCGTAGAACGTCTCAGTCACCGCGTATATGTGGGTGTTCTGACTGTCGTGTTACGGCGTAATGCGACGAGCTCTGACTGTCGTAGATTTTCAAAATTTTTCATTGATGACTTCATGAGTGAATTTTATTGTAGCGATCTACTATATGCACACAGCCACACACACAAATGAGTATATATATATATATATATATATATATATATATATATATATGCACTCATCCGTTACCGTGCTCGTGCAGGATAGATGCAGTTATATTGCATGCGCGTGCGCATGTGTGCGTATGGCGAGTGTATGCATGCGAATATTATAACGTAGGATCGCTCTTAAAGATTCGCATTATTATACGTTCCTTTATTTTTCTTACAATACATACACACGCGCTCGCACACACATAAGGAGAGTTAATTTGCAAATAAAGATATAAAGAAATTGTAAGAGCATTGAACGACAATTTAAGGGAAAATATTTTCGAAAATGAATCATCAAGGGCGTTTGAATAAATGCTTACAGACGTTTCAACCACGTGTCAATCAAATTCACATCATGAAAAAAGAAAATAATAATAAATGCATATGCGTATGCGCTATACGATCCCATACGAATGTGCCGTGGACTTATGGATCGGCGACGGTAGGCGCGCGCGCGTCCCTACACATCACCTATTCAAATACTAATTATTCTGCAACAATTGATAATCGTGTGCAGGAATAAGTGCGTATGTAAATGACAAGATTGAAAGGCGGTGGAGAGATGTGTGCCGATGAATGAAAAAGTGGCTCGTCGCTAGAGAACGAATATGTCGAGAAGCAGCGCACCTGCGGCGTTCACCATACGTGCGCGAGCAGCGGGTGAAATTCAAAAGATCGCGTCCGAGTTCGAGCGGATATTCATTTAAACGTCACGTGACTCGGCCGAGACACCGAGGGACTACGCCTACGGCAAAAAGCCATCGACGTAATTCGTAATCGCGGGGGCCGAGCGACCGCCGCCGAATTCTTACGGCTCGGACTCGCCTCGGGCTCGGCTCCTCTTCGAGCGTCACTGGCTTTGTTCAAAAATGGTCACCGCAGTTAGGAATAGCGATGGCGGCCAATGCGCGCAATGCCAACGTTACTTCTTAGCGGGTACTTCGAATCTCCGGACGCGGCCACTTGGAATTCGATAATTCACACGCTTTTACCCAATGGTCGTGCTTTTAATTATACCGATGGTAATATTAGCCTTATGCCGATCCTTGGAGGTCCCGTGAAAATTAATGTTTACCTCGCCAACGATAAGCTCACCGCTTATGCAACAGTTCGCCTTCCATTTAAAATGCCTCGTCGATTATGCGGTACTTGGTAAGTCTCGATACTTTTTACGAACTTGCAACTTACGCGTAGCAGCGTTTTCAAACGAAATTGTGGCGACTATTGAGCCGAATATGTTGTATGTAAACTTGCCGTTACGCGACATTATTCAATATAAAAAGTGCGTACGTGCGTACCTCCCCGGCCATAATAAGAATGGCTTTTAAGAGCCAACATTTTTGCGCAAACTTATCAATCTAATAACGATTATTATAATAAACTACCGCAGATCAGAAATTATTTAGAGAAGCGTTGCTCTTTCGTTGTCGTTAAGGCTTTGGAAACGAGCTTGGAAAGCCGCATCGTCGACAATTTTCTTGATTAATTTTCAACCAAACCACCATCATTCTATGAAATAAACGAAACATAAAAAATTGCATATCATTCTTTTCTTCCGCGTATTTTATTGTTCGTAGCTGCTTATATAAATGACAATACAATAGCCATTGTTGCAAAGGTTCGTCGTTTATTTGAGCGATGGCAGAATGAAAAAGAAGAAGAAAAAAAAAGAAGAAAAACCGAAAAATAAAGGAAAAACTCGGACTTGACACACCGGACTTACCGACTAGAATTGAATTTATGTCTTTTTTTCCCGCTAAACATTGGCGATTAAACGTTAAGAGCCATTCGATGCTTTCGCCTTACATAAACTTAGCACGTTATTTGACATTAATAATCGTAAGATTTGAATGGGACGAAGAGACGAGCAGCCGAGAGATTGAAATTTGCAAACGCAATCGGATATTGCCAAATACGTAGTGCTCTTAGAACGCAACGTTCCATTTAATTTAAATGTCCCAACAAAACCCTCGTAAACACGTGTCCACGAATCATTTCGGCCTTTTTTTCTTTATTTTTTTTTTTTTTTATTTTTATTCTTATTCTCCGAGAATCACTTTTGTTTTACTCTGCGTGTGCCCCACAGTATCGCCTTCCGACCTTTTTTCCTTTTACGAGGTGAGCGCACGCGTGTCACACTTACTTTTTACGAAACGCTTTTTTAAGCCCGTATGAGGCAGATTTATTGCGATCGGCTAGGTTGCGTAAATATCTCTCAAAGTTATTTTAGCTTCGAGTGACGCCCGCGCCAACCGATTTCTTGCTTTTAAAATTTGTCTTTCGATCGTTAGATTTCGTATGCTACATCAATTTTCCTACGCATACACATATTAAATTTCTTGTTGTAGATCTCGGCCGATGTCGACGACGAAAGCGTTTAGCGATAGTTGTTTTACGTAAGTTATATCAGTTTTTTTTTTTTTTTTAATTATTATTATTATTATTATTATTATTATTATTATAATGCTGCGAATATGTGTAAAAGGCAAGCACTTACTTGAATTTGTAATTCTAAAATTATTGTATTAGGATTGGGGCGATCGGCTATATCATTTTCTAATAATTAATTAATATAGCCGTTGATATATTACGTAAATAAACTTTACAATTCCAAGAACATTCGCATTTATTTTTTTCTACATCGACACATGGCATTAATTTCATCTTTGTGTGTGAAAATGTTGAACTAATCTTTAAATGTCAATTTCAATTATTATATAAACAAGAATTGTCGAATAGTAGTTGAGAAAATTAGAAAAAATAACGTCATAATATATTATATTTATATATCAAACTTATTAATTCCGAGAGCGATGTTAGTATTTAAATTAAATTTACACAATTTCTAATACAGAGCGTAAATAATAACAGTAACGAACGATTAATTTTAACGGCACAATTTTTATTATTAGTATTATACAAACTTTTACCACATGTACAAAAATTTTCTAACTATATTTACAAATATTTGTATGTGGACTAAATTCTTTTCAAATTAAAAACATGAAATATAACAAGTCACTAATAATGAATTGATTTATAACATAATGATTTATAAAAATAATTCTTAGTAATGCCAATGAGTTTGTATTTATTACACCAAATATTTGCACGATTTTTTCCAATCAAATATCCACGCACATTAATAGAAAGTAAGAGGAAATGATTGTAAAATATCTTTGAAATACAGATACATAAAAACAAATATGGACCTGCATTAATTTACTTTATTTTACGTCGTTAAAATTCAGAATACTGAAAACTAATACTCATATATATATATATATATATATATAAACATAAAAGTTTTCGCATGTATAATAATCTTAAAAACATCATTACTTGAATGTGAAATTTTTTTTCTTTAGATTGTACATTATTTCAAGCACGATACAGTAATTCATTTTACGTATTGCGCAAAAAATGTAATTTAAATCATGCAATCGTCTGGGTTTATATTTTAATATATTTCGCTGGATGTGTAAGCGTATCTAATTATCACAAGTTAACAGATTTGGATATAATACATTCAATTTTCATTTTCATCCACTATTAATGCTCACTATACCGAGTATATTTGTATATTTTAATAAAAATTTATCTATTCTCCCTTAGCTAAAGTCGCTATGTCATTCTCATAGATTGTAATAATTTATATCGTCAACAATAGTGTTGTGTAGCTGCATTTACAAAATTTCAGAATACCAAAAACGACATCATTAACGGCAATATATATATATATAATATCCAAATACATTTATCTACTTTGATAATAATAAGGTAAATTTTATCAAAAAATAATTTAAACATTTGCAAATTTTTTAATTAAACAACTGCCAACGTACAAATAGCAAATTAAAAACCTTATCGATAACTTACTGCATACCATTACTGATATAAGCATATTTAATTTCACACACGAACTCACACAAGAGCCCACGTAAGATCGCAAAGCAAAATTATGAAGCTATAAGATTTCATGGAAGATCTTGAAAGAAAAGTTGCCAAAAGGTGAACATGGATCAGCAACTTTAATTGGATGTCCAACTACAGTATATGTAAGCTGCTACATTTACAAGCATATTTATCAAACTGTTACGCTCTTTGTTTTAATTAACTTTATACGGTTACGTATAATACTATTTCTCATTTATATATTGATAAATTTTATTACTTATGTTTGATTTTATAATTCTGTTAATTTGAATAACAAATATATCGATTAGCATTTTTAAAGATTTTTACAATAAAGCCATATATTATGCATCTAAGAAATCGAATATTATCTATGATTCGAATGAGAAAATATTTTCTATTGGCACATACTGATCTAATGCTCAATCCATCATTTTCAATTGATAATATTTTTACAAAAAATTTTTTTTACAAATTTTCAATATATACAAGTTGTCATATTGCTATAATATATATCCATGACAAAAAATTGAATAATTTTTTTGTTTAAAAATATAAAGCATTATCAATAATATTTTATTTAATAGTAAAATATATAGACTTAATGATAATTGTAATAAATCAGAAAAATCAAAGGTATATGTCTTGTTAAAATTGCATCGTCATTTCATTTTTTCATTCCTTTAGTATCTCGTGTATGATTTTATTATAGAATTTAATTAAAATTTGTACACTCATATTATCGAGTATTTGTTAAATCTATTTAATTAAATTTATATATCGATTCGATTAATTTTTATGAATTGATTAATGCCCAATTACGAACTTATTTCCCATTTACGGCGTTTCAAACATGGACTCAATTATCTCCGATTGCCGAGGGATTTCTTTCCTGATTTGAGGTTTCTTACTTAATTCAACTACATTCGCAAAGACTCCAACTTTTATTTCGTCATTTTATATTCTGGTGGAGTGCTACCAGAAACCAGAGATTCGTAAAAACTCGATGAAGAATTTTAAAAATAAAATTCAAAATGGTGCCGCAATTGCCGTAATAATTATAACATTAGACGATGCATTCTAATGTATTAGTGAATTTACTCTAAATATCTAATACGTGCAAAACAGAAACAAAACAAAAACAAAAAACAAAAAAAAAACTGGCAAAATTTATATGCATGATAACGTTGAATGTCGGAAAGAAAATTCTACCAAGCTTTGTAATATTTAACTTTAGGATGTATTTTATCAAACGACGTATCGTATACTAATTTATTACAATAAATTTATATTATTATATTCTTATATTGAATTTTACGCAAAAGTAATGATTTTAACACGTACAAGATTGTGTTGATTATGCATGTGTACGTGTGAGCGCGCGCAAGTGTATTCACATTATCTTGAGATAAAAAGAGAAAAGTGTCGAAAATAAATCTCTTTACATTGTGAATTATTCGATCTACAACTGCAACTCGAGAAGCTTAAAATTATTACAATATATATATATATATATATATATATATATATATATATATATATATATATATTTATATATTTATATATTTAAATAAATAAACTAAAGTAGATTATTAAAAATACAATGTTACTAAGTTAACTTAATAAGTGGATATGTTTCGGCTCGTTACGTGCTCGTCACTATTCTCAAAATTACTTTTAAATAAGCGACGACGACGACGACGACGACGAGGAGGAGGACGAAGACGACGAAGAGGACGATAACCAAGGCGACCATTCGAGTGCTATCGAAGAAATATGCTTGATACGTACAAGAGCACAGGAAGACGACGACCAACCGGCTTGTCGATAATTAAACATCCACACAATTAATAAATAACATTTCAAACGTATGGTCGCGCGCTTGACTAGCGCATCCTCGCAGCGGGCGGCGCGCAAACTTCCGGAAAGACGAAGCGGCCAACGCAGGCGCTACGTAGGGCACATGGATTTTATGGATTCGGCTGTCAGTCTCGAGCTTGACTCGCGCAGTACCGATACACCGTCTATATCACTTAACAACATCTACATGCACACCAGTTCAATGCTAGTCGGCGGCCCAAGATGACGGCAGTCTCTGCGCCTCCAAACGTCCACTCGATAATACAAGTCGTAAACGAAGCGAATTTAAACAAAATCGAGAGGTGAGTGTCGGTTGTTCGGCCCGCGACTGCCCGACCGCGTTATCTCCCCAGCTCCAACACCAGCCCAACCACCGTTCGAAATAAACATCCTCCGCTTGCTTTGTGCCCGCAGCTTTATCAACGACTCAGCCTACAGGGAAGCCATTGAGAACTCGTCTACCTACAACAGCCGACTATGCAGGGAACGCAGGTTACGGATGCCTTTTCTAGACTCCCAGACGGGTATGGCACCTTGTTCGACCTGGCCGAAAGTTTGGCGCCGTTGACGCACCGTGGCGTCGCCCCTCCTAATCCCCATTCTCGTGCCGCCACCGCTACCTCCCTCCCTCCCTCCCACACATCCCATCCCATCCCATCCCATCCGATCCCATCCCATCCGATCCCATCCCGTCCCATTTCACTCTCCCTCCCATACTTAATTCTTTCCTTCCTTATTTCCTTCCTTACTTACCTACTTTATTACTTAATTACTTCAGCGGTCCCATCGTCGCCGGTGTCTTGACTCAGTGGCCGCCTCGCGCGCACCCAGGCATCCGAATTTCCATGACAGCGCTGCCCCGACCCCCTTCCAAACCCTCTCCATCTCCTTGCAACACCGACCCCGACTCCGACCCCAACTTCGCCCCACCCCGGATTGCCAACTGTTTTTTCGTCCCTCTACCCCCTCATTGCCAATGTTTCCCGGCCAATTCTCCCTTTCTCCCGGTGATACCGCTCCAAGAGCGGGCTTACAAGCATATTCTTCGAGTCCTTTAAAGCTTGCGTTGTTTGTTGTTGTTTTTGTTTTTGTTTCTCTTACCCCCTCCGACTGCCCCGGTCCTCACGTGTTTGTTTACCCGTTGACATTTAAAAAGCGAAGAGGCGCAGGATGGCGATTATACAACCAGCCCTCCCCACCCTCGTTCCTATTTACATTGTTTTCCATTATTTTACAAAAGCGAGCTCCTTCTACTTAGTGATAATATTTCATGATATTGGACTGCATTGTCGCGTCAAGGCTAATTATTAGACGGTCGCGAGCTCTAGTAATTGTTTACCTTATATTATAGTCTCCAAGTCTCCAGCTTCTCGTAATTATTGCTCCCCCGAATTTTCACTCGATTTTAATAATGTTGCTCGATTTCCCCAGGAGTTGCACAAAACCACTCAGCCTTGTTTATGTCCGCGAGAGAACGTCTTCCAGGCTTACAGCATGGCCAAATATACACATATCCGAGCAAACGATGGCGAAAAAAAAGGAGACAGTATTTAATGCATTACTTTCACCCCAAGAGAGTAATAAGAGGTGACATAGAAGATGGAGTCGAATGCATCGAAAGCACTACACTGGGAGGCAACGATGACAGTAAAGACTCTCTAGCTTTAAAAGGTAATGTTCCATTATCTTAACTATTCAATACTATTGAAATAGCGTTGAAAGAAAGATAAGAAGACTATCGCGGCCAAAAATTCTTCAACCAATCAATGCTTTGATATAATTTTTGTGATAAATTCAATCTCTTCTTCGTTTAATTATAATTTTATAGGCTTACTCTAATTTTGCAATTATTCATAAATTTTAATTACTAAACTGAATATTACAATATATACAGCTGTCCGACCATATATCTCTAACCTTTTATTAGAATGATGAACGAATGCTAGATCATATCTCATTAATAATACTTAATATTATGTCGCTGTTAATTGCATTAAACGGACAAGGAGAGTATTATATCTCATTCAAATTCAGTTGTGTGTTTTTTTTTTTTTTTTTTTTTTTTTTTTTTTTTTTTACAATATGATTTGGGATTTGGACAAACAAACAACAAATTTTTTTTTATACAAAATGATATCGATGGTTTTAAATATTATGTCTAATTTTTTGTGGCATTACTCTGACGCATCAAGTACTGCTGTATTGCTATTGTTCGTATATTTCTTCGATGCTTTCGTTTTACGTTCAAAGTGTGCTTTTATACTTATATTTCCATTATGAAACAATTTTATAAAGAAAATTGAGAACATTGCTGAGAGTTTTAGTTGAAATGTATTTAAAGTTGAAAAAAAAAGCTTGAAGCTAACTAACTTTTCAAAAGCCTTAACTAGCTTTATTGTCGCGTGTTAAACAATGTCAGATTTAAAGGTAAGCGATATACTAAATTGCCTTCTCGTTTCAAGATGAACATAGTAAAGATGCCTGGTTCTATGACGAACAAGACATGTTAGATATGGATCCGTACGAGGAACCCGATCCAGATAGTGATTTTGATTACGAAGAAAGTTATAGTAGTAAAAGGAAAAAAAGAAAACCTAGAGGAGGTGGTCATCACCCAGCTAGAAGTCATCCTCCAGCGACTGACAGTCCAACAGGGAAAAGAACAAAAGTGAGCTTTAAAAGAAATAATAATAATCACCCAACATAATAATAATTATAATAATAATGCTTGAGATTGCGTTGTTTTTCATTTATTTATTTATTCATTTATTTATTTATTTATTTGTTTGTTTTTTTTTTTCAAGCTCTGTTGCAAGTATCCTTATTCTGTTTTATTTTTAATACAGGGTGGAGGTCGCGGGCGAAAAAAAGCTAACTATGATGCCAGTGATTCTGATAAGCCGTTCGTTTGTGACCGTAAGTTTAACCATAGATACAACTACAAATGACAACTTCCTCTTATTTGTTTTACTACGGTAACTATTACTACGCTGCTCGTTATATAAAATTCAACCGAGCCACAAACGCACTGCGTCAAAAAATGTTATTTTGTTAACGTTAATCTACGGTTTATAAGTTTTATATTGTCTAGATTAAATGATCTTTTAATCTAAAAGCAAAGAATATTTAGTATAAGACACAAAGTGGACGCTCGAAATAAATTATAAATATTTTAGTGAATTATATAGAGTAGTTTTGTAATCAGAAACGGCGACAGTTAGTGAGTTTAAGATATAATGCTGCTTCGCTTATAATATTTATTTGACATGTCGAAAAAAGTAATTATATTATATAAAATATATTGATTGTTTTATAGTTAAAATTTTTATTATATATAATTTAAAACAGCTCATACTAGTTATAAAAACTTAATTATACATGCATATATATATATATATATATATATATATATATATGCATACGTATATTTATATGTATATATATGTATATACAGCTTACTATTTAAGATAAATAATTTGCCTAATTATTAGATCTTTATAGTACAAAACAGTAGTTTAATCTAGTAACATAGAAATAAATCTTAGACAGTAGATATCGTAAGTAATAGATTTGCAAACAAATGGTAAAAAGTTCTCTCTTATCTATACAAAAATTAGAGTAATACAAGTAAAATTAGAAATAGCTTGTTAAAAACTTTACTGAAAATTACTTTGAAATTAACTCGAATGTGCCTGCCAATACGTTTATTTCCTCATAACGCTCTTATTTAGAACTTAGAAACTCGACGCAAAGGTATTTGATAGATTGAAAATGCACGTTTCACACAAAATCTAACACTTTTTTCCTTCGACGTTGATTAGTAAACCTGTTTTTACCAGTGCATAATTTTTTTGTAATATATTTAAATGATAATTATTGTGTAATCCAAAGCTTAGCAGGTATTACTAGTTTTTTCTTCTTTTATTAAAATTTATATGTTATCAATCGTAGAGGTATAAATATATATATATATATTTATATATATATATATATATATATATTTCACATGCATTTTAAAACTAAGCAAACACTTTCTTTTCTGTTTTTTTTTTGTTCAACTGTTACATCTATTCCATGTACTTTAAATCAATTACAAAAACATAATGTACTTAAAGTCATATAAAGTTCAGAGAGAGAGACCAATTTTTTTATTAACCTCCCGATGAGAATTGCATCGATAATCCATCAAAGTCCAAAGTATTAGCTATCGAATACCTTTGGATACAGTTGATATATGCAAATAACCATACATACTATATACGGAAAGCAAGAATATTATTACTTGGCTCACCTCTGTAGCGAGCTGATTTTACTGTAGGTGTATTCGAGCATTATTAAGCCTTGCATCGTATTAGTTTTGCTTCTTGGGCTGGAAACCCTTTCACTGCTTATTCAACACATATAGATTGATAGGTGGCTAGGGATGTATCCTAGTACGGAAGGTGTGCAACCCCCGCCTGTGTCACCAGCCGCCCCCCCCCCCGACTCCGACCGCCGACTTCCAATATACACACCCTATCGCTTATTAAGTGGATTGCAGGAGTTCGTTTTGTACTCTAAAACTGTTACGTTTGCGCTTTTACTGGGATAATTTGATATTATGACGAATCCATTGTCAAAATATGCAATTCAGTGGGAAAGCTGAAAATTTAGATTTTCTCGATCCAACAGATTTCTTCGACAATTGCATTGTATTGTTGGATTTATCGATAAGCTTGAATTATTCGACTAAATGACGCAATTCCAAGCTGCGTCAAAGACAAAACAGTTCTCCGGATCCATAAGGTTTCCTATCATTTTACACTACCAGTATCTTTTACGTATACTCCCGCGTCGCCCCCCCCCTACCCGCAATCATCATTTTTCTTCAACAATTACGTTCTTCTTATCTTTCATTACTTTTTTTTCTTTTTTTTTTTATTTTATTATTTTTTTTTTTCTTCAATCTTTTTTTCTCAACCAAAAAGAAAGACACGAGAGTATAGCAAAAGAAGTAAAAGAGAAACAGCAACAAAAAAAGAAATAGAAAAACTTAGCCATTGCATTAGGTGGTTTGCGGGAAAACAAGTACTTTGCACTTTTGCAGTATGCAGCGCACGGTATAAAACCAGACCCGGTCTGGTCTACCATTACGGTCATTCCCACTCTACTTCCTCCGGCGATCCTGCTAAGGAACTAAGTCCCAGTCCCGCCGATGTTGAATCTCGGAGCGTGGCAGACGCAGTTGCTTCGGACCAGCCAGGTTGGAGCCACAAAACGAAATAAGCTCAATTTTCTCCTTTCTTTGAGCAGAGCGCTCCATTAATCATTTTTTTTTTTTATTAGTTTTCATTCTATCTTCTTTTTATTTATTTATTTATTGATATTCTTTTTTTTTTTTTTTTTTTTTTTTTTTTTTTTTTTCATTACGATTATTATAATTTAATCTTATTAATTTTTCTCTCCTCGTCTCCGGGCACATATTAATTACATCGGCTTTTCATTGATTTTTTTTTTCATTTCACTATTATTTACGCATTTGTTACGTTTTTCAACATTGATTCCTGTTCATTCGGTCTATTTTGATGAACCTGTTTTTCATCTAATTGCAATACTATTTAAATATATATATATATATATATATATATATATATATATGTTTATATATATATATAAATGAAGTAAATAAATGAGCCTGTAAGAGAACAAAAATGAGTATTGCAGACAGTGTTACGTAATTTACAATGTTTCGATGGGACATTATCATCATTATTATGATTATGATTATGATTATTATTATTATTAATATTATTAATATTATTATTGTTACGATCACGATTATTATTCGTTATTATTATTATTCTTATTATTACTATCACTATTATTATTATTATTATTATCATTATTATTATTATTATTATTATTATAACTATTATTATTACTACTACTACTACCACTATTATGATTATAATAATTATTACTATTATTACTATTATTACTATTATTACTATTATTATTATTATTATTATTATTATTATTATTATTATTATTATTATTATTTTTCTCGTATTAGCGATTTTTCTAATTGATATACGTATTGTTTTCTCTTTTTGTTATTACTGAATATTTGAGCATCACTTGTGTTTCTATATTCAGGGCTTGAAAATGTATGAGAATTATATGTACTGTTACCTGCAATAAGAGTTTATTACAAATGAATTATACAGTCTTTGTTTGATCCTTATATAAAAAGCTCTTCTTATATAAGCCCTGTTTATATTACCTCAAAAAGTTTCCATTTTAATTTTTTTTTCTCCATACATCCATACATTTTTGTATGCTGATTTTTAGTATTGTGTTGGTGAGAATATATCAAATAAGGATTTCATTCGAAATAATAGTGAAAATTATTTCGTCAATTAATAAGATTTATTTGTATGGTTTTTGTTAATGTTTAAAAAAACTTTACTCGGTATAATTAATTAGCTTTAGCATATTGTTAATCGAAACACTAGTGGTGCGTCTACTTAATTTAATTAAGCCATTTTTAATAACACTTTTTATAGTCAAAATAATACTTTATGTGGTTATATATTGTTATGTATAGTGGTGATTAATAATATTATGTGGTTGTATTATAGGATTGTTCGTGAAATTTCCCAATGAGTCAAGGGTAAATAAAAGTTTTAGCCAAAGTATTAATGCCATGTCAAATAAATTTAACAGAACTTTATTGGTCTATTCATCTCTGTAAATTATAACTGTCACAAACTATCACACCTTTTTGTTTAGGCATCTTTATAAATTTATATCTTTGAAGATATGATTGTTAAAAATGGCACGCATTGCATATTATTAGAATGAAAAAGTTAAAAGTTGTATAGAAGAATATTTGTAATAACGTTATTCTCTAATGAAAAATCAAGTTTATAAATAAATTCCTGCCCCCCTGACTTCATATTTTCAAGACAAACTATACATTTTTAGGGATATTTATTACATTTATTTTCCGATCATTTTTCTTCTTTTTTTTTTTTTTTTTTTTTTTTTTTTTTTTTTTTGTTTATACCGAATGACAAATAATATTCAAAGACGCCTTAATCAGGAAAAACCATATGAAATAATCTTATAAATATCTAAAAAAAAAAATCTTACCAGCACATTTCTAACACAGTTTGCAATAAGCATGATGCACCTTTCACGTCGCACATTACGTACTACGTTTATATTTGATAAAAACAAATATAAAAAAAAAAAAAGATTCATCTCATCCCAGTCGCTCTTTTACTATTCTTTTTATCAATCTATGTAATACATTTTATATTAATTACTTTTTACTCTGTGAGTGGTTCACGTGTGTAAATGCCGTGCGTGTGTGTTGTCTCTCTTTTTACATTAGATCCCCATGCATCTCAAACTGCATGACGTCTGTTTTTTCTTTTATTCAGTTACTTCCAAAAAAAATACCAAATACACGGTACAATTTTTTTTATTTATTTATTTACTTAATTGTTGTTGTTGTTGTTGTTATTATTATTAATTTTGTTTTTTTTTTACTTTTATTGTACCTTAGGCAAAGGGAAAAACAGAGCTTCTTACATCTAATGCGAAGGTCATTCTTAATTTATACACTCTGATAGGAGATTTATATATATATATATATATATATATATATATATATATATATATATATATATAAATCTCCTATCAGAGTGTATAAATTGACATTAAGTAGTTTTTTAATTGATAATAGTAACGTAAATTGTTTTGCACTAAAGTTTGCTCGTTGCGTTGATTGTTTGTTTATTATTATTAAAAAAAATTTTTTTTTTTATTGAATTATGATTTGGTCTTCAAGTATGTTTAGTCGTAGAACTTTTCTATTAATTATTGGTGATGGAATGTGCTATGTTAGTGCAAGTATACTCTATTAAGAATTATTTTAGTCGTAAATAACGAAATATGTTTTCTCTTTTCTTAAAGTCTTTCTCACGCATACCGGCGATTCTGCTTTCCATTTAAAATTATTGTCATGTCATATGATGCATATGTCATACCATCGATACGATATTCGATTTCATCATATTTAAGAATTTACGACTTTGTAGAACATTATTATAACTCCCTTCTCCTAAAATTTCATTACCTAATGTTTAATTATTTCCTGGAACAAATATATTGTACATTTAAATAAATCAGATGTGTTTTTAATTAGTTTTCTGGTGAGAATAGTAGTAATAGTAGATACATAATACACAATGTAGATTGTCTTTATTAACTCAATTAATATAATGTTTTAAATTTGTATATATTTCGGTTAGTATTAACTTTCGAGGAATAAAAAAGCTATATAATTACCATATTATTAGCAGCACTGTATATTGTCGCAATCTAATCACATACTTATTACCAGCATGGTAAAATTAATCTGCACTGAAGTACAGTAAGAGTCTTTAGTTTTGTATAGTTATAAAATAAATTCTGAACAATAATAAAATAGCACATGATAAGTTTCTATGATTTGACTGTATTTTAAAATGATTTAATAAATTTTCTATTAATCTTTTATATTGTCAATATTATCAATGTCATAATTTTAATATTTGATAGCATTACGAAACGATATAAATAATTCTCAAAACGACGTATTCAATATAATTTTTTGAATACTTTTACCCGCAGTGCAACTAACTCTACTGTTAATGAACAACTGAATATCTATTTTAGCCATTAAACTAATTATTTGTATGGATAACAAGACGACCACTTCATTTGTAAACAGTTAGATATTTTTTAATAAATTACTAAAAATTTTAATGCAATTATTACTGTATATTATATTGAATTATAAAAGCGACTTTACATTATTAACAACGTTAGAATATCATGTTGACTTATCGTATCGACGACATTTTCAATGTACGTATGATGAGCGATTGAAACATTATTGCATTGGTTTGAATTCCTACATCGTGCTGAAAAAAAAAAAACAAAAGGTTATTAAAGTTGAACAATTATATGCGCCTCTAATAAATATGGTAATTACATAAGCCTGAGCATTTGTGCGCTTGTTTTTTTTCTTTTTTTTTTCTTTTTTTTCTTCTTTTTTTTTTCCTTTTTTTTATACGAAACTGAATCGCCGGTTCTTACAAAACCATATTTCTAAAACGATTAAGGAGGCCTTTACTCAATTTAATAATTTAGATATTTTTTAATTATTATATGCAAATGATATGAGTCCAACATTTTCTTCAATGTAGAAGATGAAGGAAAACGTTTCGATTAACTTGATTATGACAATGATAGGGCAAAGGAGGATACTAGATAACTGCAATCCAAATAATTAGAGTCGTAGATATTTATAAGAGTAGATATTAAATGATAAATTTCTTTCAATTTAATTTTAAGATGTTTAATAAACAGTAATCTAAGCAGGGACTTATTATTTTCATTGCAATGATATTATAACTCGCATTGACCCGAGAACTTATATCTACTACATCTCTTATGTGGGTCATTTATAAGTTACATTTGCAGAAAAGCTTTAAAGCAGCTTCTCTTTGCTCATTTATATACGCTTTACTTTTACTTTAATAATTAAAGAATACAAGCCGTGTATTTATAAATTTTTACATATCTATTTATTTTACATTCAAACGAATTAAAAGTCTTTAATAATACAACATGAATGACATAGTAAACAAGAATTAATGGATGCCTATCTGACCTGATTTTTAAAGTATGAAAGAGAAAAAAAATTGAAATAAATAGCAGCATAATTTATATAAATCTTAAATTGCGTAAAAAATAAATTTCTTGTCATTTTGTCCTTTGAATCGAGAAAATAATAATTAAAAATATTACACTGATATTTTTTACTATAATTCGAATAACTTTCATTATTCTTAGATAGCTAAGTTACTTAGCTCATGCCACTATTCCACTGTCAGCCTTAGGTTGGCAATATTGTTGTACTGTAAGCTAGCATAAAGAAAAATGTGCGGTTACAAAATGACATAATATTTTATTTACACTAAACTAAATTAATTAATTCTAATTTTTGTGTGTGTGTGTGTGTGTGTGTGTGTGTGTGTGTGTGTGTGTGTGTGTTTAATAATTATAATATATATTCTTGAAATGTTTAAGTACTTTTTTTTTACAGCCAAGCGTACAAAAAGAAACAAGTACATTGCACACGTAGGTGCGCATATATATATATATATATATATATATATATATATACACACGCACGCCCGCGCGCGTTTTTTTTTTGCGCCAGTATATGTCACTATCGCTCGTCGATAAGTTAAATATAACACTTTATCGGCAGTATACGTGAGCGAAGTATTAGTTTTATCGTATTTTTAATTCGAGAAATCAAAGACATTAAACTATTAAAACATTGCTACTTTCTTCGTTCTTATTGACTTTCCATAAATAATGCACTTTATTTACTGCAACTACCAATAAATGCTATAATTATGTAAATTCCTATAATGGCTTTGTAATCAACCATTAATGTATGATGGGCATCCATTTAATTATAATTAATTAATTAATTAAGACAAGCGTTATAATCATGTTTGTATTGAAATTCAGATACCTTTTAAACTTCGATCTATTAGACATTAGATAATCATATCTAAAACTTGCTAATATTTTATGAAATAAATTGTTGATAATATGGAAAATGAAATAAAATTTATTCTAAAGATAAATACAAATATATAATTAAAAAGCTTTTGCATATTTTTAAATTAAAAGAAATAAAATTTATATATTAAACGTTGAATAGTATTTTTTTTTTTTTTTTTTTTTTTTTTTTTTTTTTTTATTATTTCTTTTTCTTTCTTTAAATGCATTAAATAATTAAGGAAAAGTGCCGATGTACAGTTGAGTCGAGATTGTGTTGGATAGGCGAAGACATACTCTTAGGGTAAAGAATTGTCAATGTTAGAAGCCCGCGGCGAGGCAGCAGATCTTTGAGTACTGGCCGTCCTTAATAAAGCAAGAAAGAGCAAAGCGAGAGGAGGGCAGGAGAGTGTGTGCGCGTGTGAGTGCTGGCGTGTATGAGCGAGAGAGTGAGAAAAAGGGAGTATGCTGTGCATGCGAGGCTGGCCTCTATACTACCACTACTGCTGCTATCTCTCGATGTGCACTGACGTGCCGCGAGGTTACTCGATCCTCTTCCCCTAAATCTAAATCAAAAGCCAAAGTAAAGAACAAGGCCAAAAGGCTCTCTTGCCCTCGGTACAAAAGCGCAACTCGTGGGTATGTGGTCGGTTTGTGTGTGTATCAGGTGGTACGCGCCGGGGTCGTCAGAGCGCTGCCTCCTCGAGCACCTCGAGCCCCTCGGCGGCGGCTTCCTACACCACTTCTATTCCCGGCTCGGGCGGCGGCACCGGCTCGGGACCGACCCCGAGCGCCGGCGTGGTCGCAGCCTGCGCCGCCCCAGGCCCAGGCTCAGCAGCAGCAGCGGCCGCCGCCGCCGCCGCCTGCCGAGTCGAGCTGCGCCGCTCCAGCCTCACCTACTGTCTCAGCTATCGGCAACAGCAAGGACGAGTCGCAGCAGCCGCACCAGCAGCACCAGCAGCACCAACAGCAGCAGCAACAGCAGCAGCAACAGCAGCTACAGCAGCAGCAACAGCAGCAGCAGCAGCTGTCACCTGCGCAGAACAACAGCGGCTCACCCAAGCAGCCTATGGACCAGCACCAGCTGAACTCCCCCGGTCATCTCCACCACCCACACCATCCGCAGCATCATCCGCAACAACAGCAGCAGCAGCAGCAGCAGCAGCAACAACAACAGCAGCAACAGCAGCAACAACAGTACCACCAGGGTAATCAACACCACGCGGGCAGCATGGACGGGAAGAAGCCGAAGGCGGCTCAACCGTCGCCCTACTGCGACTTCTGCCTCGGGGACGCGCGCGAGAACAAGAAGACCGGCGGCTCCGAGGAGCTCGTCTCGTGCAGCGACTGCGGCCGCTCAGGTAAGCAACAGCATCATCACCCGGAGGAGCGGGCCAAGCGCAAGTACACCAGGCGGGCCAATCACAATTGAGCCCCCGTTGCGACAGGATCACGCCTCAACCATGTCGCGCGAACTCTGGATGCCGAATGCTTGTAATTGTTAACGTTGAGTTGGAATTTCGTGGCTTCGCTTCATCACGTATTTTTATACGCACTTGTACAGGTCTCTATTGACGCGAATAGGGGTTTCGAAATACGAGGGCTTTCTCGTGGGGCGAGAGAGTAAGAGAGAGTAAGAGAGAGAGAGAGAGAGTGTGTGTGTGTATGTGTGTGTGTGTCTGTGTGTGTGTGTGTGTGTGTGTGTGTGCTAGAGTGAAAGAGAGTGAGAGATTGTGAGTGAGTACACGGGGATACACGTAGGTGGCGAAGCGAAGGCGGTGGTGGGATGAGGGATCGAGAGGGTTGAGGGGGGAGGGCACTTTTAATATTCGAGGAAGACCCACGACGCGAAACCTGACGATTGCACCGTCCGTCAGTGGCAAGCCGAGAGGACCGACAACAGACTTCCGACAATCGTGCGTGATTTTCACGGAGTCTCGTTCTCCGTCCTTAACTAACTCCTCAGTCAATTCCGCATTTGCAGAGCTTCGATTCGAGATCGTTCAACATATTCACGGGGCTACTATGATCTTTATAAAAACAACAACAAAAAAACGTTCAAACGACAATTGACGATGGCATTTACAAAAAGGTTTCACCTTGCGCGTCTTCTTTCTAATAGAATTCGTAGTGTATTTTACGTGCCCTCCGACCACCCCACGTATCAATGTATTTAAAGAAATGATATTACTTGAAAATATTACGAAAGGAGGGCCAATGAGGGTGTCAACTTACGTTTCTTACCTTCAAAGTCTATAATTTTACAATGATATATTACTCCAATGACATTGTAATTTGCGTTACCTTCATTGGCAGCTAAATTCGTTAAATTTCAAATTCAGAATAGATATACGAGCCTTTTTTAAAAATATACAATTATAAAATTCGTAGAATATAAGTAGAGGATCGTTAAACGATGAAAATTTATTTATGATACAAATTCCAACTAAGCTTAATGATTATTATTATTCATAACGTAGAGAGACTCTGTGTATGCGTGCGCGCGTACATTTTTAACTAAAAGTCTTAGTCATTTTTACAACATATTTGCAATTTATATGTTTTTTGAGCTTTATCGTAGCCGGTTAAGTTTCCTTTACATACGCCGTGGCCAGTATTCCGATTATAAGTGGAGATCCAATAACTGACGAACAAGCAAACGAAATATTCGTAAAGCCATTCTTAAATTATTGCCGCTTTGATGAAGCACGCGTTACGATAATGCAAAATTTTCGAAAAACTTTACGAAAATTCAAGTGCCCCCACTCTAAAGCCTATAAAAGTATGTAGATATACAATTGGTACAATAAACGTGATTTTATCGGATTATTATTCGGTTGAACAAATAGTTAAGAGCTTTACAATATTTTTTCATATATATATGCTACTGTTCATACACGGCAATTCAATAAAATGTAGCATTATTTTTTGCTTTTTATGAAGGCTAAATGATTTACATAAAATGTATTTCGGTTAAGTATATAAAGTATTGATTAGCTTGATAGCGAATAACATTGTCTTTCGTTTAACCAAGGCTTAACGTAAGTGCGTCGATAATTTATAAAGTAAAGCAGAAACGTGAAAAATCCAAAGATTTCGGCATTATTATTATATTACGTATTCTATTACTTCCTACGTGTATGTGATTCTATGTTGTTCTATGTGATTCTTAGAATCATCGGGCGGGCATTAACGTTTTTCATTCTATTGCTATGAAATTACGGTATACAAACTTATTTATTCCGATAAATAATTTGCAATAGCTCGGGATAATTCTAGATATCCATTCAATATGCAGTACATCGCTTCTTACATAACAAGAAAGTCGCTTTATTACGTTTTTATTAATGCGCAGTGTCGTTCTCGTGATCGTTCTTCCAAATAATCAACTTTTGTACAAACTTTCATACCGGTTTTATACGTAATTCTGTAAATATCCATTTTGAAAAGTGAGAAATCTCCTCAATAAGAATAATAATACATTCGACACTGGCGATAAAAGATTATACGCATTTTATAAAAAGTAATTGTCGATTGATATCGATTTAAAAATATCAAAAACATTGACCAACAATCGTCTATTACCAAAACATTCTTTTTCTTTTCTTTTCATTTTCTGTTTTTTTTTCTCTGTTTTTCTGTTTTTTTTTTCTTTTTAACGAGTCGAGGGCAGAATGTACTAAGGAGGAAAAATATAAGCATTTTCTGTTTAATATTTATTAAACCTTTTCTAGTCAAGATTATATGTTTTCCATCGTAATATACTACATATTCAACATAAAAGTGCGAAAACATATTTATCAATTTATCAAATGATAAATGTAAGATAAAGATATTATATAATAGAAATCGCGATGCTCGTGCAGATTTTTTAGAATTAATAAAATTCGAATGGTCGCCTTAAAGAAGCATGTTAATAATAATTGTTTTATTGAATCAATTTCTTAATCGATAAATAATTTTTTAAATGAATGTCACGGGTGACTTGATTTTTTTTTCTTTTTTTTCTTCTTTTTTTTTTTTTTTTGTTCAGTTTAACACGCGTAGAAAATTTCGATGTAAATTTTTGTTTTGATCGAAAATTTAATTAATGTATATAGATTTTAGAACAAAAAAGTTTTTAATTAAACTTAATGCAATTTAGAAATAAAACATTTTCTATGGGTAAAGATAAATGGAAAGAATGTTGATTAATTTAGTTTCAATTATCTCAATTTCTATATTTCCTTAACAATGTAATTGACATTTCAATTATTTGATATTGTGCATAATGGTATTTACTTGCGTCAAAATAGATGGTAACGATTTGAATTTTCTTAAGACCATCTTTTAAAAGAATATTGATTGTATAAATAAATAAATCGGCATTCACGATAACTTAACATTATGAACATTATAGGTAGATTGACTTTTTTCAAAAGAGAAACAAATAATTTTTCCACTTTCATAATACAAAATAAATATTCAATTGATATTTGAACGTATATAGTAGATTTCTAAAAATTTTAATAATAACTCATTTTAATACAATGTCTCATCGACGTTTCTATGAAGTCCATTAGTGCATTTATTATAGATTGTAATAAAAATTTGTATACAACTATCGCATAAGAGATACAATGAAGTTTTAAAGTATAGTTCCAATATCAAAGTCGACACGTGTCTACACACTGAATCAAAAAAATAAATAAATAAAATAGAATTAAATAAGTATTAGGGGAATGAAGAAGCACAAGTACAGATTAATTATTTCTCTCCTACATTCTCTATATTTTAAAGTACGGCTACTTGTAATAATATAAATAATTAAATATTCGTACAAACCTTGTGTGTTCCTAACTTAAACTCAACTTTCCGACACATCTTAAACGATAATTAAAAAAGTTCTTTTCGTTAAAAGTTCTTACCGACTCGGCTTTAACATATTCGGGCACGCAGTCGAACCATTTAATTTTAAGTTTGCGATAACGGCAAAATGCAAAATATCTAAATGAACATCCGGCTGGCGCATTAAAGACTATTGGAATCCAACGAACGCACTTCTTTATATTTGGTAGAATAATACAGATTAATTGCTTTACAATTGATTCTCTGTGCTTCTATTTATCATTTTTACTATGATAGATTTAAATTGAATTAGCGGCTTCCAAGGATCAGGCCAATGCGCCATAAAGCATAAATAGACGAAAAGCTTCGGCGTGAATGTCGTTGAGGCGCGAAGCTTCTGTAATTATTTGTCGATGTGAAGTTTTTTCATGGGGATGCGGTAGTTCGATTGTCGGTACATTATTGATTATCGCGATCATGCGATTACATATGTAATTCAGTATAGTATTATAAAGGAGCATATCATTCGCGATCGTAAATGTAGATTTTCCGCACGTTGCTAAAAGTCTAATTGGTGATTAGTGGACGGATTCATATTTAATGGACGTGTGTGTTTGTTTGTTTGTTTGTTTGTTTGTGTGCGTGCGTGCGTGCGTGCGTGTGGTTGAAGGAAATTTCGAAGCAGCTGGATGAGGAGACGAATTTTGCGTCGTTTTGACCGATTATCGATCCTCTAAATAGATTCGAGGTCCTTTATCGCGTTTTTCATGGGACGTTTTGTTTGGTTATTGCGATGAGACTTTTCGATGCCCAGCTGCTGTTGCCTTAACATGGGACTTCGAATGTTTTGGAGGCTCGAGACGTTGGTCCTAAATGGGATTAATTATTTTAATTTCGTATTATGTACTACGTTGGAGCTACTTTGTCATTACAATATTGATAAAGGAAGGGCTCGACAAGTAATGCCATTATATTAGTGATTAACGTGTTTCGCATGAGAAGAAATTATGGCAATGGGAAATCAAAGGGAATAATAATTGAGAGAGAAAGAAAATGCAATTTCCACGTTATATTTAAATGATGATAAAAGTCTTTAGAAAATAGATGGGAATGAAGCGAGAGAGAGAGAGAGAGAGAGAGAGAGAGAGAGAGAGAGAGAGAGCATGATTAGTCGACATCCAGTCAGCTTAGCTAACTAAATTACACATTTAAAACGTCGGAAACAAAATGGAATTTTCGGGATTAATGAACAACGTTGAAAAGCGTTAGATTTTATTTCTTCATTTTAAAATACAATTGTGAAAATATTTTCAGTTTTTAAAAATTTTATACGAAAGGTACATTTTATTAAATCTGTAACTTCGTACTTTTTTTTTTTTTTTTTTTACTTCTTGTTCAAATGACCAAATTACCTTCGGTGTTTATTATTTTAAAGTAAGGAAAAGCGAGTGATTGAACGAATGACTATGAAATAGAGAGAAAATTGTCGAGATTAAGTGAACCTTTAAGCCGTTAATACGAGACAACGGTGCGACACAAAAGCGAATAGTTCCTCTTTGTTATATAAAAGTAATAAAATTTGTTCTATTAAACGTTTTAATTAAG